TCACAAAACTTACGTCAAAAGCAATGAAAACCCATAAAATCTCAGCCAACGAATTCAACCAAAAGGCCACACAATCAAATTCCAAATCCAAAAGACAGAGAATTAGAGTTGCTCAGTCAAATGTAGCAAAAAGAGCCATAGTAACGCATGAAAGTGACTGTATTTTCAATGTTCCAAAAACACTTGGAAAAATAGCTGTAATTCAACCCCCTGAACAACCCACAACTCATACCAGCAGGCATTCAAACTCAAGAGACAAGGTTTTCGTTTAATGACAGTGAAGCTAGTTGGTCGGCAGCAACACCAGCCTGCTGCTGAGCTACGGTCCTCAGAACCTCCATTGCTTCTGCAACTTTGGCTTTTAGAGCTTCTGGTGACTCGAGCAAATGCAAAACCTCGGTCTGATCCATCTCCAGAAGCATCCCGGTTACTTTAGCCGCTGCATCGGGCTCCAACTGCTCAACCAGTGGATAGAGATTCTCCCCCAGCATCTGCACACAGATCCATACAAGACAATTTCAGTTAACCAAAAAAAATCCGGGTAATGCATCTTCAGAAACTTGTACAGAACCTTTTCAAAACTGATTTATTGCAAACATGGCAATTCTTCAATACCATTTTTAGACCTGAAGTGTGTATTAATATGGGAATTTATATGGTAAATATTCAATACGATTTTTGTAATTAACCCTTTTAACATGGAATAAAAGGCCTTTTATTTCCATAAGTAGAATCTGTTACACTTTGACGGCACCAATATGAAGAGAGATAAGTAAAACAAATAAAGCAAAGCAGAACATACCGTTCTTTGGTGATCTGGCGTAGCATTTGCAAGAGCTGAGGCCAAAGCTCCAATCGGAATGGGCTGAGAAAGTGGTGCATCACGCATTGGCATGCCACTCATATCATATGGAACAGAAATCATGCCTCCAGCAACATTAGGCATTGAAACATCAGGAAGACCACGCCCTGGTGGATAGCGATAGACCCGCCCTCGAGGTAGCATCTGATATTTTAGTGAGCCATCAGATGAAGTATTTACAGATATAAACATATGTATCCAAGATATTGAAACAAACCTGGTGCTGCATTAAAGGAGCTGGTTGCTGGTTTTGCTGAACAGACCCAGCTCTTCTGCCACCAGGACGCTGACCCTGTTGGCCTTGCTGAACCATTGGTACGAAGAAATTTGGCATGGGAGCCCCACCAGGCCTCATACCCGGAATAAGCTGCTGCTGATATCCGAACCCGGGCTGAAAGAAGAGAGACCCACAAACAAGAGTGATTTTCTAAAGCAGATGTCACAGAATAATACTAATTGATTAATTCAGTACTCGGTAGGTTAAAATATATGTCATACGACTACCAATGACAAGAAATAAAATGCATATACAAATAGTTACCTGGGGAGGAAACATCGGAGGTGCTTGACCATAGAATATTTGCTGCCCAAGACCTGGACCACCAGGTGGGTACATTGGCATTCGAGGTCCAACTGAAGGTGCCATTGCAAGTGGTCGCATTTGAGAAAATTGCGCCTGTAAAAAATGTGGTGGCATATACCTTAGAATACTAGAGAATAAAAACCATCCCTTCTTGTGCCACTACAGTTTAGTATTGAAGAAAATATCGAAAGAACACACCTGCAACCTGGCTCTCCTGTCTTCCTTCCTTTGAGCTTGAGCAACATAGATAGGTTTGTAGGCAATCATTTTGCCATTCATCTCAGCAAGCTGTTATAACAAGAATTAGATTATGTTGCACGATAAGACTATATGGGAGTAGGTATACCATTATCAACGTACAGCTTTAGATGCTTCTTCTGGAGTCGAAAATGCAACAAACCCTGATCCTTTACTTATTCCATTAGGGTCTCGCATAACCTGTTACATTTAATGATAGGATCATCTAACTGAGTAGTGTATCACTGAACTTGACTATTCTAGAAACAAGCTATAACTTACCTTGCACGATGTTATGGTGCCATATGGAGAGAATAGCTCTTTAAGTTTTTCGTCACTTATGCTATCATCCAAATTCTTAACATATAAGTTCGCTCCTTGAAATTTATCCGCAGCCTCTTTCATTGTCTGCTCAAATCGCTGTTTCAGTTCAGCCTCCCTTTCAGATTTCTTTTGAGCTTTCCCGACAAACCATTCCTTATCGTCAAATTTCTTTCCATTTAGGGACTCAACAGCTCTAGCAGCATCATCTGCATTCTCAAAGTTGATAAACCCAAAGCCCTTGGATTTCCCATCTGCATCCCTCATAACCACGGCACTAGTGATTGGACCAAATTCACCAAAAATCTTATTCAACTCATCATCAGTAGTCGACTCCGAAAGATTCTTTACATATACATTGTTAAATTTTGTCATGCTAGCAGAAGTGTCTCTTTCTTGCTTGCGAACAAAAGGGCCGACATAGACTTGCTTATCGTTTAATAGCATACCATTCAACTGCTCTATTGCTTTTTGGGCAGACTCCTCATTGTTGAATTGTACAAACCCATAACCTTTTGACTGACCAGAGGAATCCGTGGCTAACTTGCAAGAGAGAATGCTTCCAAATGCAGAAAACGTATCATGCAAAGCTTTTTGGTCGATTCCCTTATCTAAATTCTGCCAGATTCACAGGAAAAACACATAAAATAAACAGAATGAGATACATTAAGAACATTTTCACGAAACAAAGAAGCAAAAGAAACTAATGACAGTGAAATTTCATTACCTTGATAAATATATTCCCTGCACCACTTCTACGAAGACTAGGGTCACGGTTGGAATACATAATACGAATAAGCTTTCCATTCAGAGGAGTGAAGTTCAGCAGTTCCAACGCCCTTGCAGCTGTAAGTAAACAAAATAGGATGTCATCCAGAATAACGTAACACTCTAATCGAATGATCGACGTATAGGCAAAACATAGTAAATAATTATTTTTTCTTCAAATAATATGTGCACAATAATGAAAACCTACAGCTTGAGTTAGCCTCAATCTTGCTGATAGGAGTCAACTTAGTTTATAATTTACATGGAAGACTGAGAAGATAGCAAAAAAGTATTTGTAGCATACATACATACATACATACATACATATCAACTTCACAATATTACACTCTTGTATCAGCCATTTCCAATTAAACCAAAACTAATAAATTTGTTATTTCCTTTCATAATTCATTAAAAACTAAATAAATCAAAGCAAAAACAAAACCATCGAATCTACAGTGAAGAAAATCATTTGAAAAAAGAGGGGACAAAATTAAAACTTAGAAAACTGAAAATTTACCATCTTGGGCATTGCCGTAGTTAACATACCCATAACCAAGAGACCTGCGGGTGGACAAATCCGTGCATAAGCGAACCGTGAGCAGCTGACCAACCTGGTTAAAGTACTCATAAAGCTGGGTCTCGGTCACACTGGGATCCAAGTCCCCAACATACAACGACGTTACAAACTGGTTATTGGCTCCACCAGATCCGCTGTTAACGCTCCCACCTTGCCCCTGAACTTGAACATGCGCCATCACTCTAAAAACTCTAAAGCAATAACTTAAAAAAAACCCCTAATTTCTTGAAATTTATCTTTTTTCTTCTTTCCTTTTTTGGGTTTTTTTTCTTCCCTCTCCTCTTCGTTATTAATCAAACAAAACCCAAAGAGCAAATAATATTAATAAATGATAGTAAGATAAAAATCTCAAGTGTTTAACCTGTCCTAAAGAAGCAAACTTTCTTTTCTTTTTTCAAAAGGGGAAGAGAGGGAAGGGAAGGGATATTTCCCGCCGGCGGAAGAATACGCGGCGCGTGAGAAGACTAGGTTGAAGAAAAGGAAGGGGGGAAAAAGGGGGCTTTGAAAGGAGTAGCTGCTAAGGTAACAGAGGACCGACTTTAACATGCAAAAAGCGGTAATATAAGTTCGGAGGTTTCTGTCTGTAGTAAACCCTAAGTTGGGATCACGAGACGACATCTCAGCCGTTGGATATGTAAGGGACAGCTTTCTTTTGGGACCCGCAAATGACGGGTAAAAATAATTAGGGTAAACTACATGTCTGTGACCTAAACTATAACTTTTGTTATGTTTTGGTATTTAGAATTTATTTTCTTTTTTAAAACCATATCTAACATTGAGTTTAGTATTTATTTTGGTATTCTTAGTTAAAATTTAACGGTGATGCTGGCACGTCACCGTAAGCTATTGTTATATCACTATTGAAAAACAAAATAATTTTACATCAATAATTCTATTGATTTTTTAACGGTAGATATTAAATTGAAACTTAAACTAAATGTTAAATATAATTTTATAATAGAAGGACGAAAATTATACCGCGGGTGGTTTTACGACCAGAAAAGGGATTTAAATGTTGTCAAAAACTCAACAAGTGTGGATGAAAGTGTGTTAATGATGCTTGATAACACTACTCTGTTCACCATTCATGTATGATATAAGCCTAAGAATTTTACAATTTTTAATGTTAGATTTCTCCACATTTCAAGTATAGTCAACTGCCGGCGATAGATAGTGATGACAAGCTACTAACTAGTTCTCCGTTTCATTTTTTATGGGTCTATGTATATGTACACACATGCACATTCTACATTACCTAGACTTTTTGTGTCTAAATATTAATGCTTACTGCCCTAAAAATTTTGGGTAATTTACGTTTTTCGTCACTTAATTTTGATTATATTCTTGTTTTAAGGTAAATGGTACTTAGACTTTATCATAATGTTATTAAAGATGTGACAACAAAGTGATTAAAAAATAACACTAAAATGAACGATTAAATTAAAAAAATATTTAGTATTTAAAATAAAAAATATCCAAAATTAAGTAATAAAATTTTAATTTAGATAAACATTTATGGGACATATCATTCAACATGACATCCCTCCATACGTAATCAATTGTTATGGGTAAAGAGATTTAGCGGTCCATATGTATTGAAACGTGACGACTTTGAAAACCCCAAAGTCTTATCTTTTGGACCGTTTCGAATTCATATTCTCTTGTCTTTAAATCCAACTCAAAACTGTGTTCTTCTTGAACAAGAAGGCAACTCAGTGTCAAAGTTCTCTTTGGATCTATGGACTCGGTATCTTCTCCAGTTGAGATGTTTTTCTTCCCCTTCGTGGGAGGTGGCCATCAAATCCCCATGATCGACATGGCCAGGATGTTTGCAGCTCATGGTGCCAAATCCACCATCATTTCGACTCATAAGCACGCTCTCTCCTTTCGAGAATCCATCCTTCGAGACCAAAAATCGGGTCATTCGATCTTCATCACAATCCTCTCGTTACCGGACGACGCGGACTTATCCGACACTGACATGTCCGCGACTCCCGTGACCGATACTTCCATGCTCGAAGTACCATTAAAGAAGTTGTTACTTCAACGCAAACCGGATTGCATAGTCCACGACATGTTCCATCGTTGGGCTGCAGATGCTATTGACAACCTTGAATTGGATATCCCAAGAATTGTGTTCAATGGAAACGGCTGCTTTGCTAGCTGCGTTCGAGATAATATATCGAAGTTCAAGCCTCACGAGACGGTCAATTCGAGATATGAACCTTTCGTCGTGCCTGGTCTCGCCGATCGGATCGAATTGACTCGATCTCAGCTTCCGGCATTTCAATTTGTAGCAGATGGTATGCAAAAATCAAAGGAGAATTGCTATGGGGTTGTGGTTAATAGCTTCTACGAACTGGAACCAGCTTATGTAGAACAGTTCAAGAAACAGAACAAAGCGTGGATCGTAGGGCCTGTATCGTTGTGCAACAGGAACATCTCTGATAAAGCCGAGAGAGGCAAAAAGGCCGCCATTGATGAACAAAGCATCCTCAACTGGCTTGATTCTAAAGCACCCAATTCGGTTCTTTTTATCAGCTTCGGAAGCGCTGCTCGTTTAGCTCAAGAACAAATCCTCGAAATCGCTTATGGCCTACAAGCTTCGAACCAACCATTTATCTGGGTAATTCGAGACGTGTTCAAAGGTGAAAGAACTGATTTTTTTAGTAGATTTGAAGAGAAGATGAAGGAATCGAAACAAGGTCTGATAATCAATGGTTGGGCACCGCAGTTGTTGATCCTAGAACATGGGTCGGTGGGTGGTTTCATGACGCATTGTGGGTGGAATTCGACTTTAGAAGGCGTGAGTTGCGGCGTGCCGATGATCACATGGCCCATATCGGCGGAGCAGTTCTATAACGAGAAGCTGGTCACCGATGTGTTGAAGATTGGTGTTCGAGTGGGGACCTTGGATTGGCTTTCGTGGAACATGGAGCCTCGGGCATCTGTGGGGAGAGACGCGGTGGAGGCGGCGGTGAAGCGGCTGTTGGGTGGCGGAGAAGAGGGCGTGGAGATGAGAAATAAAGCGAGACTGATGGGAGAAATGGCTAAGAAAGCCGTGGAAGGCGGTGGATCATCGTATAACAATGCCGTTGCCTTGATTAAAGAGCTCAGGGATCGACGAAGAATAGACGATATTAAATATGCAGCCTGAACAATATCAACTATACTTCTTACCCTTCTTTTGTCATCTTTTATGAATTAATTTTTGTAAGTATTTATATCACAAATCCAAAACTCTGTTTCTTTTCACGGTTGATTTTTCCAAAGATTTCTTTCTCTGCATTCCATCCCAGAATTCCAAAATTCAAGTCCAACAAAACATATATATATATATATTCTAAGTTATTTTCAAATTTCAATACATTTTCCAAGCATGATGAGGAGCAGAGAAGAGTTACAAGGCAAGTTCAAGAAGTACGTATCAAGGCCGAGGAGCAAAGCAGAGTTGCGGAGCAAGCTGCGGCACTACATGTCGAAGCCGGTCCGAGCTTTACACAGGGCAAGAGACTTCTACGTCAAAAGCTTGGAGGATTGCGCTAGTAAGGTCGGCGGCCACGACGGCCTTCTCGGCTGCCCCGCACCTCAAGTTTCACGGTTGCCCAAGAGCTTCAACTTCAACTATTCGAAATCGAACAACGACGAGAAGTTCATGAACTTCTTGGAAACCATGTCGAAGAAGAGATCGATGGAGTCGGATGTGCAGGAACGAGAAGAGGAGCCAAGGCATGTGGAAGATCGGCATGGTGGGTTTAACAGAAGTTATAGTACCATCGCCGGCCTGGGCCGGATTGACGAGGACGAGCCTTGCTACTTCGAAGAAGAAGATGCAGTGTACGCTAGAAGCAGAAGTTGCGTATACAAGAGATGCTCTTATTATTGAAGATTGGAGCATAAGAATCGTTAAATTTTTAGGGGCTATTATGAATTTAAATCTTTTATTTATTACATTATTTCTATAACTTTGATTTTATGAACAACTTTCAGATATTATGTATTATAATAGGACATTAAAATTATCATCAATGTCTGTAGATATGGTCAATTATGTTGGATAGAAATCGTTTGTTGACTAATGGTCAACTCATATTGTTGATGTGATATTTTTATATATGTTTAATTGTTGATATAACATGTATCGCATCATCATTTTGGATGATATAACACATGTTACATCATTACTTTGGATGATATGACACATACCACATCAACAATATGGGTTGACTGTTAGTCAACTAACAATTTCCATCTAACTTGGTTTATTTAAACAAAAAATTGAAACCTTAGGAGTAAAATACTTTAAAAGAAGAATATGATGCAAAATGATCATTTATACAAATATTGAAGATTATTTTTGTAATTATACCAATTTTAAAAAGGTTGTTTTATCTCTGCATGTTATGTATAAATTTTTCGTATAGGCATATACATATTTAAAATTTGATTTTAACATTTTTATATACTTTAATAGAGCTAATTATATTATACATCCTCAAACTATGACACTCATTTTAAATTGATTCCTGAACTTTTAAATATTCTAATTTCATCTATAAACTATAATTTTCATTCTAAATTGGTCTTTAAAATTTTGAAAATTCCAATTGAATCCATAAACTATGACCCTCATTTTATGTTAGTCCTCAAACTTTTCAATGCTTTAATTTCATCCCCAAACTTTTGAATGATTTAGGGGACGTTATTTGAACATTCAAAAGTGTAAGGACTAATTTAGAATGAGGGTTATAATTTGGGGATGAAGTTGGAATATTCAAAAGTTTAGGGAACAATTGAGAGTTATAATTTAAGGACGAAATTAGAATCATTGAAAATTTGAGAACCAATTTGAAGGAAGATTTATAGTTTGAGGATATATAGTGAATTAACTCACTTTATATCTGAAATAATACCGAATGCTCAATCTAAAAGTAGAACTTGATTGATAATATCTTGCTCATATATTAACTCGCCAAAAAAATCAATATTTGAGATAAATTTCAAGAGGCCAAAGGGTGGATGAGAGGGCCATGGACTCAAGTTTTTTTGTTTATTTACATTTAAGTCCTACAAATTTTAAAACTAGTCGATTAAGTCCTCAAAAAACAAAGAAATTTATTTCCAAATTTTGCTCTAAGGCTGTTTCTCATTGCAATGGTTGGTACAAAAGCAGACTGGATAAAGAGATTAAAAGGAACAATGGTAACTGGATTTTATTAATAAAAGCAAAGGAATGAAGTGTATCCATGCATAGAAAGAAAAATGAGGACAATAGTCACTCAAAAAACTCAAACAAAAAACAAAATATTAAGTCTAAAGATACGGAAAAAAAACGAAACATTCACTAGATAATGACGACCAACAACTTTAAAAAAATCTATTAATCTTCATAAAAATTCATTGTCTCCGTCGTATGAGAGATTTTATCGACAAACAACCTTTTACCAAATAGGAGATCTTATTATACTTGACCACTGATAAACCTATCAGAAAGCAAATGTTGTTTGAGCGAGCATCAAAATGACCGTAAAAGTATGCAAAAACGTATTAAAGGTCATAAGGATCATGCTACAAGAACAGAGAAAACGTCTGGCACAAGAGTAGAGAAAAGTGTGTCATAAGGATAAAAAATCTTATTCAAAATTAAAAAAGAAAACTCAAGAAAGAAAGAAAAAAAAATGTAGTATGAAAAGATAAGAGAACCAATAATCACCGATAATTGATATCTAACATTAAAATTAGTGTCGAAGCCGACTAAATAAAAATAAAAGAGAAATACGATACAAACGTGTTGAAAGAAACATATGTTAGAAAAAGGAGGAATTGATAGAAGCTTAGATGGGAAAAGAAGGGGGGGGGAAATAGAAAAAAGATAGAACTATCTTCCGATTGGGTAGTGTTTTCCGACGACCGGAGGCTACGTTTGCAAATCCGGACGGTGGACGATATAAGCAGAAAACACTGAGGAGAACGACATAGTCGAAAACTAGCCACATTGGACGGATGGCTTTTTTTTTATTTTATGTTATATGACATTTTCATTATGATATTTTGGTACAATATACTTTGTTGAAGTTTTTATGTTGGCATTTTATATGTGTAAATAATCTTGTCTCTTGATGGTATGATTATGCTTATGGGATTATTTTTGATATTTTAAATATTTATTTTAATTTAGTTCCTTATTATATTAACATTATTTGAATATTTTTAATATTTAATTTGATTTTGTTATAATAAAAAGGGAGGAGAAATATGTGAATATAAATTTATAAAACGATTGTAATTTTTTATGACATTCTAACAAAAAATAATTTAAAGAAATTTACAAAAGGCCCAAAATTACGGGACAAAGATGAGAGAATAGGGGTGTTCAAATAACCGAACTAATTCGGTTAACCAATCGAACCGAATAAGTTCGGTTAATTCGGTCGGCCACCAAATTAGTTTGGTCGGTTAGCGGTTAAGAAAATTTTTAGAATTCGGTTCGAAATCGGTTAATTAACCGAAATTAAATTTTAAATATTAAATATATTATATATAACATATGTGCTCAGCCCAAACCATTCAAAACCCAATTAATAATTTAAGATCCAATAACTTTTAAATCTAAATCAATATTAATTAATTAAAAATTTTATCTAAAATTTTTATTTTATAATAATATATTATTTAAATTAATTGTAAACTGTTTTTTTGAATTAAAAAATATTATATATATTATATATAACATATAGGCTCAGCTCAAACCATTTAAAACTCAATTAATAATTTAAGATCTAATAACTTTTAAACCTAAATCAATATTAGTTAATTAAAAAAATTATCTAAAATTTTTATTTTATAATTATATATTATTTAAATTAATTATAATTTTTTTTGAATTAAAAATATTTAATTTTTATATAAATTATAAATTTTAAAAAAAAAATCCGGTTAATTCGAAAATTAATCGAATTAACCGAAATTTATTCGGTTCGGTTAATATTTTCGAAAAAAAGTTCGGTTCGATTAACGGTTAAAGAAAAAAAAAGTTCGGTTAATTCGGTTAATGGTAATTCGGTTCGGTTTTAGCCGATTGAACATCCCTACTAGATAGGGTACAAATTTTGGGTTTATATGCGTTTTAAGCCCTATTATTTTTAAAATTAGTCAAATAAAGTTCCGGAAAAAGAGATTGAAATGAAATGAAGAATTGAAAAGAGCAAGACCTCCTTTGAGATCTGATTCATTTTCCGGCAAGCCAAACAGTCCAGTAGCAGCAGTAAGAGCAAGCTGATATACAGTTTTCAACTCCATTGATGATCACTTTCCATAGAACCATCAGTCAATTCTGAAACTTCCTGCAATATCTCGATGTCAATCATCTTTACTTTTTACAACATATATGTATCTATGTAGGTATATATGTGTATAGATTGATATAATTGGAAAACCTTGAAGTCTGTTGCAGAGAATCTTTGCTGACAACCAACGACGGTCCCCATTGAAGCTTGATCATAGGTGTGAGCAATTATTTTCTAGAAAAAAATTACAAAATCATAAGCATCATCGTCAGTAACATGAGAATGACCCGGTACCATGACAGGAGAGCAGGTGCTAGTATCATCAAGCAAAGAAGCCTGTTCTCAGTACGCCTCATCACGGACTCACGGTGCCGTTTTTTCGGCACTATTTTTATCCAATGCAGCAAGTTTAGACACGGAGTATCGGAACCGGTTATCATCGATGTCATCATCATCATCGAAGCAGCAGCCGTTATTCGCAAGCTAGACGACGAGGCAATGCGTACCATCTTTGCAGAACCGAGCACACCTCCATCCTCCCTTCTTCTGTATATGGATGGACATCTACTCTTCATAGCATAGTAGAGATGTTCATGAGTCCGAGTTAAAACATTTTATTCTCGTTTATTTAAATCAGATCGGTCCGATATAAGTTCGAGTAGATTAAATCAACCGAGTGAAAAGTAATTTATTCGAGTCAATGTTAAAACATATGTAGCCTAGGTGAAGCCCACATTGTTTTAGGGATGAAAATTTTCCTACACATTAACATCCATTCTCTCTTTGTACGTAATTTGTTCGATATTTTCGATGTTGTTATATGTATCTAATTTGTTGATTGATCGATATCAATCGAATATTATAAAGATTTATTATGGAAATGATATTTTAATTCAATTTTTGTTATATCCACATCTCATAGTCAATTATCTTCCTTTTCAATATACATGTTTTCTTCCTTTTCCGTTTTCAATAATTTTTTGGTTTGATTCCATCCCAAGTCCTTGTATCTTTGAACTTTTAAAATTTAACATTTTCTATTTTATTTCCAAGAATTTAATCCCCGTACTCGACTGGATTGAAAATTGAAATCCAACTTATTACACTTTTAATACAATTATTTAGGATTCTCGAACATATTCATTTGTATGTTCAAAAAGAGGGGGAAAATAAAAATGGTAAAATTATGTCACTAGTCCTTAATTTCTTCAAGTTTCATTGCTTGAACTCAGAAAATCATTCAATGTTCAATTTAATATCTACATTCACCGATATTTAAAATGTAAAAAATAAAAAGAAAATGATAACCAAATAAACGAGATTTCAAATGAGTTTGTTCGTGAAAATAAATGAATCGAAGACATCTCTTTTCATATTCGTTAGTTATTAAATGAACATGAAAATTTAAATCATATTTGAATAAACGAACAATTAACAAATAATTCGTCGAACAATATATTTATTTACGGCTCTAATCTTTTAAAAAATATGAATCGAACTCGTGACACAATGACACGTGGTTTAGACTCAAAGGACAAAAGGAGAGCCAACAGGGGGGAGTTGCAGGAGCTAACAAACAGTGGGAATTTGACATAACAGTGGATGGTGGTGGGTGCTGTTGATATGGGGATGTTAATGCCTTCATTGTCTCATGCATCAGCCTAATTCACAAGCTTGTCTTAAAGGCCCACACCCTTTCTTTTTCCTCTCTGAAACCTGCAGGCTGCATAGAGTATGTATGGGGACCCATTCACTGCCTCACTCAGGGATGTATATAATTCTCTTAAAAAATTTAAATTAATGTAGATTTTAGATTTTTTTAATTAAAAATTTATTTTTGTATATTAAAATCTTTATAAATTTAATTCTTCCTATAATTTTAAAAAAATTATTCTTAAAATAAAATTCTACGTCCGTTCTGAATATCACCTTAGACTTCACATGTACATCAATGCCCTTCCCTCCACCTTGTGTTGGTGCATTGGAATGGTAAGGGATTGGTATTTTTAGTTCTTTTGATCCTGATTCAATCTTTATATTTTATTACAATATTTTGTTTATTGTGTTATTAAATACTTAAATATTATATTTTTCTTTTAAAAAGATATGAAACAATTTTAAAATTAAATTTTCTTTGATTTCTATGAAATAATTTTATAATTCAAATTTTCTTTGATTTCTTGATGAGTATCTTCTTTTAAATCTCGACAGTAGAAAGTCAGAAAAGGGAAAGAATAAATTTTATATCTTAATTCTATATCGATTGGATGATGAAAATTGTAGATCAATGTGGTTTTAGATCGAGCTTATGATCGAATTTTATGATTTTTAAAGTGATTTAGATAAAAAAAAAACTAAATTAATAGACTGGTAGGAGATAATGAGACGATATTATTGATATCTTTAGTGATTAGAGAAATCAAAGAATGATAATTACAGAATCAAAATGACACATAGAAAAAATTATAAAAAATTTATCTTTAGAGGAAAAAAATAACATAAATGATATATAAATATCATTCTTATATTTATAATTTAATAAAGATGACTATCCAGCTCACTTGGTAGAGCACAAGGTTCTTAACCTTGAGGTCATGGGATCGAGTCCCACAGAGAGCATTTCATAATTTGGAGGTCTTCTACGGAAGCTGCTCTCAACCTGGTGTTGGGGACAACATACTATCTTACCTCCCCTTACCCCATTACATATGGGAACAAGGGATAACCATTCTTATATTTATAATTTAATATCTGAATAATTAAAATATAAATTGAAATTTTTAAAACTTTAATAACTGATAAAAACCCTTCATTTATTTGGTGAAGACGACGGGTCCTACCTTCAACCTTTTCTGCATACAGCCTGGATTTGCCTTCATCTTCACCATATTTGGCGGCTGTGTTCCGGACAAAACAACATAATACAGCTTTCCATCGCAAGAAATAAAACATTTTTGTGCTCATTTATTGGTATAATCAGGGATCAATGTAAGGGACGCTAGAGATTATATATTATTATTTATTATTGTTTGGATTTAACTTTGACTATGTTAACAACGATATATTCTTTAATGCTGGAAAAAGTTCGTACTCGGATTATGCGTCTCAATGAGAATCAAACCTGATCTTGATTTCCTTTAGCGAAGCTCCGTTAAGTTTGTTCTTAGAGATTTGAATTTACTACAAGCCGATTCTCCTCCCCAACAATAAATCAAAATAACATTCAAGCCAATATGTAATCTTTGAGTTGAAAGTGTAAACAATTTAAAGATTAAGTCGATTATCTAACATTGTTTGCCGAAAATCAAAAAAGATACTTAAAGGTATGAAGCAATTTTCAATTCTCGCGAAACAGATTGAGTCATCACTATGCTCTCGATTAAAAGAGATTTAGCTAAGCATGGATTGAATCATGCTTAGCATTGTGAAAAGAAAATAATGAAAGAAAAGTAAAACTTTAATAAATAGCCAAAGTAACATAAATTTCAATGAGTTCAAGGTTGAATCTAAGGGATATTTATAACCCAAAAGTTTTAAGTAAATAAAATGATTAATTCATAATAAAACTAAAACTTCTAACGAGAGTTCTAATAAAATAACTAATTCCTAAATAAAATAATTAAACTAAAAATCCTAAATCAAATGGGCTGTTTGTTTACCTCTTAATGGAACCATTCAGCGCTGAATGTTGAACCGTTCAACATTCAACGCGTTTGTTTCGCACATCTGAATGATTCAGTGTCGACTGATTCAGCAAAACAGTGCTGAATGATTCAACATAGAAGTACATTCAGAATGATTCAGAGGCAGTAAACAAATAGCATATCACATTCATAGCTAATTTATCCAGAGCCTCTGAATCATTCAGCATTTGAATCATTCAGAACTTAATCATTCTGAAGTAATCAAAAAGCCCCTAAAAGGTTTATAACAAAAGATAAAAATAAATATTTAAGTCTTGTACTTCTAGTTGAATTTTGCTCCATCTTATGGATAGACTTATGACAGATAAATTCTAATTAAATATTCAAGATGTTGACTGGACTATCGAAATCTACTACTTTTTGGACTAATTAATCCAATAAAGCTTATTTCTAAAATAAACCCAAAATAAAGATAAATGAGTAATATCCAATCGAAAAATAAGGAACAAATAATAATAAATATATGCAATATAAAATACTCATCAAGAATATTTGGGAGCAATGTAAAATAGTATAAAGAAAAAAAAATTTAATCATATATGATATTTCTTTTATAATTATCGGTACCTAATATATTGTTCGATTAATCTGAATTAAATATTATAAAAGTCTATTATAAGAAAAATGTTTTCAATTTGATTCATAACAATACTAATCATCAAAATTCGAATCTTAAACGTGTTTGAAAAATCTTGTATCGGATCTTATTAAACTTATTGGTAGTTAGAGTTATTTTTTCAGTGGGTAAACTATACTTTTTGAATCACTCAACTTTGAGCAGAATAATTTTCCGGTCACTAAATTTTAATTTTTTTGAATTTAATCATCCAATTTCGGAATTACCCTATTTTTATCACTTAAACGCTAAATTACATTACAAACATATAATACAATGTTTTTACCCATTTACCCAAATGGGGTAATGCGCTTAGAATACTTAGATTGCTTAACTAAAAGCTCCTTTAAGAATATTAATTATTAAATAACAAACTTCCCTCCCTCTCTTTATACCATCAAATCCCCACCGTTCATCATGTAATTATTAGTGCCATGAAAAAATGACAAGAGAAGAAATGGGTGGGGGATGGGTTTTATCTACGATCGCTGTACATCCGGAGCAGAGGATCTTAACCGCTTGACTGGCGGCTCTTTTTGTCCGCTAGATCCGGGATTCTCGGAGCGCGTCTCACAACTGCCGCAAGCGGCCGCGTCGAGCACGCCGACTGGGCTCGGAGGCGGCGGCGGCTCGACTCTTAGATCCTTGAATCGAGCGAAGGGACAGGTGTCGATGAGATATTCGTCCATTAGTTGGTGACAGCTTCTCACCATTTCCTATAACAAAGATAAAGGAGGAAAAAGAAAAGAAATGAAAAATCACCGCCTGATTTTATAATTTCCAACACAACTTTTTATGCTAAAATAAATATTTGCAAAACGACTCTTCAAGAATGGAGAAATCATGGAAAAATCCATTCAACTTACAGCATTTACATTCTCGTGCAAAAAAGCGCCACCACCCGGACATTCGAAGCTGTTTCCAGTAGCGCAAAGCACGGCGGCTGCCGCCACCGTCGACGGCGCAAATTGCAGGAAATCAATTACTGCGAAACCCAAAAAAATTACACTGCTCAAAAACGTTAACGAATCCCGATTAAAAAGCTTTTTGTAAAGATCAATTATACCACGCATGGTGCTGAGAATTAGATCCGAAGCAGCGGAAACAATCAAAGAAAACGAATCGGGTAATCGGGTCGAGCAAGAAGTGAGCTTCGAGATGAAGTAACGGAGATAATCAAAGGGAGTCACTGAACGTAATCTCCAATTGAGAACGGCCATGACATGAAGCTCCATTCTTTGGATGGTTTTGGGTTCGAAAATGAATCTGGGATGGAAAGTTTGAAGTTCCAGTAGCGATGGAACTTGGGGTTCCTCCATTTTCGCTGCCAATGATAAACATGCCACCGATAGAAGCTGAAGCGGCCACCCATTTGCTGGCTAGGGATCAAATTGAAAAGAAAGGGAAAAAGTAAGGCGTTTATGGAGAGAAAGTTGCAGAGTTTTGAAATACAGAGGAAACAGATTTCGTTTTTACCGGAAGATCGCGAGAAGAGAGGAAACGATCGAAATAGTTGACGGAGAGAAACGCAGTGACGGGGCTAAAATGATAGCATGCATTTACCTGCATTGTTTCATGATCACATTGGAATGATCAATCAATAAAAGTGTTCTCAAAACAAATGTGTGTGTGCATTGTGTATAATGTATGAGAAAAAAATGGTGTACTTTTAGGATCCAATTGATGGAGTCTTGACGGGCTATGACGTCGACGGAACGCTCCTGGCAACGGCGGAGGTAATCGGGGGAAGGCATATGATGGGATTCCGAGTCGATGAGTTTTGAAATGACCTTCTCATCGGTCTTTGGATAATATTCGTGTAGATATGGAGGTTGACGGTGGCCGGAACACATGTCGGGTTCCCAAGTTACTAATTCACCGGCGTCTTCGCCGCAAGACAAGCTGGTGCTGCCGTTTCTAGCGGAATAGGCGGAGGAGATGTTCAAGGGAGTTGAGTGAGAGTGAGAGTGAGAGAGGGGCATTTGGATGATGATAATAATAAATATGGGGGTGATGTACAGAGGCCACGGCGCTTAATGAAGGAAAAGCAGCTTTGACGGCGGCGGCGGCGATGGGGTGGAGGAGTAAGTGGATATTGGTGGTGGTATTTCGTCTGATCATTTAGCTTTTGGATTTTATGATGTGTTTTGCTTCCTTATGTGTTACATGTTCCAATTACTAAAATAAAAACATATTAAATACAATTGATATTCATTTTAATACAGAATTTTTAGTAAAAAAATAGTGTAAATATTATGTTAAATATCTACTCAAATACTAATTAATAATCTAAATTTCATTATAATTTTAATGATTGAATAATATTTAATGATTAAGTTCATTTAAATAAAATTTCTTTTTTAATTAGGGTTGTGAAACATTAATGTTGCTAATTAATATTGTTTACAAGTTATACTTAACAAAGAAAGAGACTTAAACCCCATTTCCAAAATGAAGGAAGCATCAAACAAGTTTAGCTTGAATGGTGAGATTTTTCAATGTTTGATTAATGGGGTTCCTGGATAAAAAAAGGACCCTTATACATCCGCAAACCATGAATCAATGCTTGTATCCACCAACCAAGCTTTAATCACAGTTAGGGATCGACATGAATCAGGTTTTTAGTTAATTCAATTTGATCGAGAAATTATATATCTTCTACCAGACTTGATCCGACCCGAAAAAGATACACCTTCCTCTCGAACCGACCTTTTGAAATAAAATTCAAACTTGACCCGATCCGAAATAATCTATTTACTAAAAAATATTATATATTTTTGGGGGTCAGATATTTTTCACTTTAAACCCGACACAAACATAACCTATAAAAAACCTGATCAGACCTGAACCCAAAACCGAAATTTTAAAAAAATATATGACCGAATATGGTTCGATCGAAACCCATTGAATTCGGATTGTGTATCCATCCTTAATCACAATTGTGTACTTTGATATTTTCTCAATTATGAGTCTCATGTTTAAAGGTTTACGTGGGATAAACTGAAGTTAATCATCCTTTAAAATTTTAAAATTCTATTATATTTTAAATTTTTTCTATTTATTTTTTATTAATAATTTATCTTCGTTCTCTAAAACTTTTTATAAATTTATCGTACTTTAAAATTTTATAAATTCAACTTACAACGTACAATCAAGCGTTTGTGCATATCTTAAACCCTAAACATAAAAAATATTATAACATTTAAGGATCTCCTAAACACACAATGGATCGAAATCCCCAACAACCGAAAGATATTATTTTCTAGGGGGTCCGTGACTTGTTTTCACCTTGTGATTTTGTCTCTCAAGTACGGTGTTTTTCTCGGAGTGATAAAAAAATGACTAAATTCGAAATGCAAAAAGAGTACAAGGACTTAGAGCAAATTTTAACCATTTAAGAATGATTCTTTGAAGACGGAATCCACTACAAACTGCAATGCCAAATTCTTAGTATGAAGGGAGATCTTTAGCCATAAGCTTTAACCAAATTGTTCTCATAAACTCAAACACTATGTGCTTCACCAATTTAATATATACCTTAGATGATCACTAACTATTAATGGTGTTACATGTTTAGTAAGATGGGAAGAACCTACTGAGATTTCCAGGCAGGGCATAGAAGCATTCAGTCCTCGAATCGGCATTGAAGTTCCTGAACTTTTCGTACCATTGGCTGCCGTTATCTCGACCGACCGATGTGTCCCCGTAACCAAGTGTGCAGTCCAAGAAAAAAGCCACGACAATGGCCAACGTTGCTGACGATGAAAACATTACTTGCATCACATTGTTGAACTGCAACCGTTAACGAAATCGTGTTAATCAAAACGAATAACGATGGAGACTGTTGTGTTAAGCATGCGAAATGAATTGACTCACCCATGTAGAAGGAGTGTGAACTGGACCATGACCGGATACTAGTAGATAGTCATTGAAATATCGAGGTATTGAGAGGCCCAAAAAGAGAGAAAATCCTAGTATGAACTTGGTTCTGAAGCTATTTAGGTTGCAAAACTGAAGAAGACCGAGTCCGGCTGAAGCTGCGCTCGATCATGGTATTCCGAAAACCGGGTTAACTCACATTATTGTTGGTTAATGAGTTCATAAAGAAGATACATACCAACATAGGCAAAGAGGACACAGTGCAGAGCAGCAACAATCGGCAATGGTACTGAAGCCATAACAGCCCCGAATTTCCCTGTCCATAAGCATCACACCGTGACAAAATCAGATCAATCTACATGTAATAATACCCCAAAAATACTCGTAAGTTTTGTTTTGAGTTATTGTTCATGTTAGAATATACAGGATTACCGTACCGAATACGGAAAAGAAAAGCATGAATAATGCCGATAGATGAATGACTCTCCGACTTCCGACTCTTGTTAATCCCAAAAGACCTGCATTTTCACTGAATTGCAGAAGACATCACCATCAAATAATGCTTTAACAAATGTAATTATTAATGAATTCCGAAAGTAAATGATAGTTACACTGAAGCAGTGGAGCCAATTCCTGTACCAAATAAACCATTGAGCAAAAGGCCTACTCCCTGGAGTTCACAGAAATCCAAGAGCTTGTTAGAATCTGGAATTAGGAAATGCAGAAGAAGAGATAAAGATAATCTTATATGTACCAGCCAACCAACCCCACGGCTATGCACAAAAGGTGGCATAGGAGTGGCACTTGCATATCTCGATGCCGCAATAAATGTACCAGTAGACTGCCAAAGAAACGGAACGAAGATGACAATTTTATTTGAACTAAGAAATTTTCATTGCAGCACCTATTGTATAGCTGATTTCTTATGCATTTGCAAAATTCGAGTACTTTTGCGCATGTTAAACATTTGAAGACCGACATCCAGAAGTCATACCTCAATGATAGAAACAAAAGAGGCAGCTATGGCGGCAACAGCATGACCGGCATTGAAACTCGGTCGTCCCCATTGAAATGGATATGGAATCCTTATCCTGTAAGCAACAAACCATAACATATAAATTAGTTGGTGTATATGACAGGGGACGAGAATACAAAAGAGAGCATGATAATATTGTGCAAGCCAATACAAGTCAACATTATCGATACATAGGAGCATACCAAGGTGCAGGACCGATGAGCCCGGATTGGTCGGTACGGCAGCTGAACTGAGTTTTTGGAGATCTATTATCATAAACACCAGCTGCTGTCAAAATTTCGCCATAAACCCATATAATCGCAACTGAGAAAAGGATTGCAAAACGATCAAGCATTGCTCCCTTGGATTTGAGTAACCGGGGAGAATACTGCAAAGGCGTCAATGATAAACCACATCAATTAATAACACGAGAAATAGGAGGAGGTGAAATATAATAGACCATCACATTATTTGCACATAAACTTGAGGGTGAAGAATTAAAAACAATGGGTCACCTGAGATAAGAAAACCACTGCTATTAATGCCGGAAGTCCGATTTCGATGCATCTGGACAACTACAGTAACAATGGAAGAAATATGAAAAAAAGTAAACAATTACTAAAAAGGAAATGGGATTCACTCACGTTCTACAGAGCAATGCCAGAATGCTTACATGAGGGAAACCATTTGCATAGAGCCCAAGTCCTGTGAGAATCACAAGAGGAGCAGTTGCAAGTGGGCTGAAAAACCTACAACACAAATTTCAATCGTTTTTAACAAATTTAAAAACCCCAAATCTTAGTTAGGCTTGTTTGCAACATATCCCACCTTATGAAAACTCTCCAAAAGCCAAAGAAACCAATAACCATGGTGAAAAACGAAGCAACGATGAGTGCTCCTTGTACATCTCTCATGGATTCTTTAAACCTCTGGAAAAAAAACCAAGTCATCATCATCGCAATCCGTATGCCATTGACGTTAAAAACAAAAGGAGAGTTCCGAATTGCAATAGAAATAAACAAACCTGCTGAGGATTAACGAGGACGCTGCTATCACTTGTCGATAAAGCAATGGAAATGGTGGAGATCATGAAAGCATTAGATCCCCCAATAACCACCGGCAGCCGGGTTCCAAGGAATGTTTGCATCAGCGTGTTTATGCCAGAAACAAAGAGAAGAGTGTTTATAACCTCAGCTTTCTCCTCCTGTTTATTTTTGGAGAAGTAAATGGGGAAAAAACGTTTATCTCGAAGAAACTGATCAAAAAAAAATCTCTGTATTAAAAGATGAAGCCCCTGTTTTCTTACATAGCCTCCGCCCATTAAAGGGACAATCGTAGATGATATTATCACAGTAGTCCCAAGCATTACCAAGTAATGCTGAAACCCATGAAGTAATGCTTCAGCTGCATTTAAACAAGAAAACTCTGAGGTTCAACAGAAAGAAATTCTTCGTTACTTGAAACACAAGAAAACAATGATCACAGCAACAAAACCAAAGTAAGAAAAGAAAAAGGAGATATGGGTATTTGATTATACGCCAGGGAGGTGAAGTGGAGATGCAGAAATCAACTCCAGGGAGCTGTTCTTTGACGGGGAAAGGCTGGGGATCATCGGATTTTGCACCACCGGCAGCCATTGTTGCTTTCTTCTTCTTTTCGGCTAGGGAAAGGTGGGAGAAGTTTCGTTACGAATACAAGTATTGGAAGAGAGAAGGGTGAGGAGGAAGAGCGTCGTACGAGGAGGAGCTATTGGGGCGACGTATCGACAGCAACCATATTTGAGAAAACGACGAGCACAAACAACAAAACAAGCACTGAAGAAATAGTAAAATTTAGAGTGTGGTGATTGGTTGGTTTTTTCTTTGGGGATTTTTGGTACTGTAAAAAAGGACTGTCAATGCCGGTGTACTTCAGTTTTGGAAAATGCCCACATCCGAAGCATCCTCCTCTTTTACCCTACTTTTTTTCTCGCTTTCTGTAACTTATCCTTTGTGTAAGTATAAAAAATGTAATAGCATCGATTCATAAAAATATGGCTTAAATATACAAAAATGTGTTCAATCTATATCCGTTTTTTGAATTCAGTGTCTAACATTATTTTCGTTCTAGTTTAGTGTTTAACGTTTCATTCCATTATTCAAAATGGATTACGCTGTAACAGACCGTCAAGTTTAACCGTTAACCTATTAAAAATACCGCATGACATATTTTTTTAATATTAAAAATAATTTGTACAAATAAAAAATAAATTAAAATGAAAAGAAAAAGTTTTAATGGGGGGAAACCAATTACTCATGCTGGTTGAAGGAACCAGAACCCCCTCCCCTGGTTTTCTGTGTTTTCGTCCTCCAATCAGGTATCTCTGACCGTCGTGAAAGTACTCTGTCGCCGCTAATGGACTCTGCAACGACTGGCGACCCAACACCGACACTCTAATCTCTTAATTTGGTCGTTGTCGAGTCTTAATCGCAAGGAGAGCTTTCGGCTGCCAATCGTCAATTCGCCCGTCTAGTCGCCGTTGAAGTACACCGCCCAACTTGGTCAAACTACAGCTTCGCTCTGATCTCAACCCAGCCGATCACTCGTCGATTGGTTTTGTCATTCACTAGGACCGAGCAATTAAAGTTTCGCTGAGAACCTTGCCCGACGTGTCTTTTCTAATCGATTATTTTTTCATTTTAATTTATTTTTTATTTGTAATTGCTATTTATGGTTCCAGCTTCTGGCTTTGCTAACACTTAATTTGAGTTTTTTGTTTCATTTATTTTGTAATTAGAGCTTGAGCTTGTTGTATCCTTGTTCAATTGCTAGATCATGTGTGTGTTCGAGCGTGAAATTGTATTGTGTTCTATCAGGGTGAAACGCCACACGATTTCAGTGTTCGTTGGGGACGAGAGTGGAATCATAAACAGGATAGCGGGAGTGTTTGCCCGAAGAGGATACAACGTCGAGCCCCTTGTTGTTGGTCTCAACAAGGACAAAGCTCTGTTTACTATCGTCGTCTCCGGGTCCGACAAGGTTCTCCGACAAGTGGTTGAGCAACTGAACTAGGGTTGGACTGTGGTGGAGAGTGAAGGAGAAAGGGGAAAATTATTTAGGGTTAATCGATAAAAGTCATTAAAACGTTTATTTTTTCATTTTAATTTATTTTTTATTTTTAAAATTTATTTTTTAATATTAAAAAATAAGTTACGTGACATTTTTAATGGGTTAACGACCAAACTTAACGGTCTGTCACTGTGTATATTACATTTATATCAATAATTTTGAATAATTATTGAATAATTTATATCTTTATTTGATCATACTTTAATATATTAAATTTTTATTCAATAATTTTGAAAGATTCAACCCTTTCTTGAATATATAAAACGGGAAGTGCGTTTATGTTCTTTTATTTATTAAAAGAATTAATATAAACAATATTTTATGTTCATATAATTAAGTGAACAAACATAAACAAAGAGTATAGTTGTTCACTTATGTTTGTGAACATTTAATAATCCATTCGTTTAAATTTAAAAGATTCGTTAATAACCTATAGAGCAAGTGATTAAAAGTTCTCAGTTGATACCTCTTATTTCTCTTAAATTGTGGGTTTAATACACAATACTTTTAAAAATTAAATATATAATTATTTTATTTTTTATATTATAAAATATCAAAATTCATATTCTACTCTACCTCCCAACAAAACTTCTCTTGAAATTTATACTCATAAACAAACTCGAAATTCTTTTAGGAAAAAGAAAAGATATAATCTTTAGGGTGTGTTTAGTAGGGGGATTGTGAAATTCTCATGGGAATGAAATCCACATTCCCTCGTTTGGTTATCCGGGAATGTCATTCCCGGTAATCTTACATTACCAATTGTAGATTTTTTGGGTATATTACCGGGAATGTCATTACCTCCCTTTCATTAGGTATTTTTAGATTACCGGCGTTTTGGACTAAAATGCCCTTAAAAATTAAAAAATATCCTTATTCTGTCATTGAATAATAAAAATTCTACGAAGGTTAAATTACAAATTTATCCTTAAACTATTTTAGATTTACAAAAAAAGTCTATAATTAAAATTTTATATGAAGTTCAGGGGTTAAAATAAATTTTTACCATTTCATTAAACTTTTTTATATTTTTAATTTTGTAAAAAAATTATATAAATTTTATGAATTTAAATTTTTTAAAGAAAATATATAAATATTTTTCAAATTGTTAAAAAACAAATATATAATAAAGACAATTTAGTCAAATATACATTCTAATAATTTTTTATTCATTTAACCAAACACAGTAATGTTACATTCCTGCTAAACCAACCAAACATAAAATATAACATTTCTAGTAATCTTATTCTATGATAATATTTTATTCTTACTAGTAATATTATATTTCGAGAACCAAACGCATCCTTAGCGTAGTCAAAATTCCGAAGCCGCCAAAGTCGTGGGACACGTGTGAATAACAGATCCATTCAGGGAACACAGCTTGCTTCCACACGTGACACGAGTAAACCCTAGAGCTCCATTTGATGAGCAACAACAAAAAGGGGAAAGAGAAAACCAGAAGAAAAGAAACCCTAACAAAAATTTCCGCCATAAAATCACAGCTTCCCCATTTAATCGCCGTGAAATCTCCTGTAGCACAGCGTCGACATGGTAGAATAATTGAATTTAATTCCTTTTTTCCCCATTATTTTTAAGAAAAATAACAAGCCTTCATTTCTTGATCTCCGGCTCAAGTTACCCACGTCCCCCCTCTTTGTCTTGTATATTTCTGCGACATCTGGTAATTTGATTCTCTTTTATGGTACTATGTGTATCGTTGATTTGTTAGGAATTAGCTAAATATACGCAATTACGACACAATATTGAATTTATGGGAGGATAATGCTTGAATTGGATATTATCTGCTAATTTTGAGCGAAATGGGTTTTTGTAGCTTGTTAAAATTGGAGGCTGCGTTTTCTTTGTGTTCTTCTAAATGGGTGCTCCTAAGCAGAAATGGACACCTGAAGAAGAGGCAGCGTTAAAAGCTGGAGTCATCAAACATGGTGCCGGAAAATGGCGAACGATATTGAAAGACCCGGAATTCAGTAGTGTCCTGTATCTGCGTTCCAACGTAGATCTTAAGGTTTGGTACATTTCTTCTTCTGTAAAATGGTTTGATATATAGCCTCCCTTTTAATCCCTGTCATGATGAATTGTATATTTTTATCCGACTCTTCATTGTTCTTGAAGTATTAGTGTCCAACACTCGTATGACTTCCACGGATCCCCTAACATAGGCTAACTTAGTGAACATAACTATACCCGTCTTAGATAGATATTTATATACAACCTCACACTGGAGTCTGAGTAACATAGGCTCTGGTTTTGTACTATCAATTCATTTTGTTTTTTTGGTGTAGGATAAATGGAGAAATATGAGTGTGATGGCCAATGGATGGGGCTATCGAGACAAAGCTAGATTAGCTGTGAAAAGGACATCTAGCTTTAATAAACAGGAGAATGCTATGGAACTCACTGCTGCTCCAAGTGATGAAGAAATCATGGATGCTAGACTCATCACAGCTCCCAACACTACATTGCAGATTCCTCCTTCTACAAAGAGATCCATTGTCAAGTTAGACATCGTTCTTCGTTTGATGTATTTGCATTTTGTATCATTTTACTTCTGACGATAATTCTTTTCACTGTTGTAGGTTAGATAACCTCATTATGGAAGCGATTACAAGCTTGAAGGAGACCGGCGGTTCAAATAAGACAAATATTGCTGCATATATAGAGGTACGCTTTTGATGCAGTATTCATGGTTTACAATTCAATTTATTTTTTCTATTTAATAAAAGTATATCTGTTGAGGTCTGTAATAAACAGAAAAAAGAAGAGCATATCAGATAGAGATATGAGAACTTTAAAATGTCACATGATTGGTTGATATCCACCTTTTCAATTTATTTTTTAACTGGTATCAATGTCTTTTTGTAGCAATCGCAAAGAAGAGAAGAAAGGCTTGTGTCAAATAAATGATAAATTATAAAGTTTGAGTTTTAAGGCGGTTAAAATCGAATAAGAGAGTTATCACTTTTGTCAGCCATTTGTCAAATAAGTGTGCTCTGTCAGTTGTTTTCTTGTTGGCTTTAGCATTCACAGGTTTCTGGAAATGTGTTCACTTAGAGTTTCTTCGTATAACTTACTGATTTTTTTCGTCAATTTAGTTTGCTTACTTCATTACTTGGATACAATGTTCCACTTCCACCTTGTATTTTGGTGATGACAGCACCCACCATGTTTAGCACAAATGTTTTCTAGTAGTCCTGTTGGCTTTTGCATTCATATGCCTCAGAAAAGGTGTGCACTTTGTTGGCATAATTTACCCTTTTTTCCTATTTCTGTAGGAGCAATATTGGGCACCTCCCGACTTTAAGAGGCTTTTGTCGGCAAAGTTGAAGTATTTAACAGCTAGCGGTAGATTGATTAAGGTAATTTATTTGCTGCATGGAAACATATTTGATGCTACTTTATTCCAAGTCATGAAGTTTGTTGTCTGAGAAATTAGTAGTAGATATATCTGGTTTCATGAAATATATCATTTGCATGTATTTTGTTGCCTGTGTGTTTGTGTTCTGTTATAATTTTTGGAAACGGTTTAGGATTTTGGAGGCGTTGTAAGTTATAACGTGATTGAAGGGTTGTATTTGATCGTAAGTTTAAGGAGCACTATCAGTCTGTGTGTATGGCATTCCCGGAACCAGTAAAAGTGATTATCGTGAACTAAGGTATTACAGTGAATAGGGCTGGTTGTCTGTGTAATTCACAAATGCTTGCAGTTTCTTTTTTGTTTTTTGTAAATATCTTAAGGATTACCGAGAATCTGTGGAAAAATTTCTGTAAAAAGTTAAAAAAATGACTAGTGTGAACTGAGAAGGTATTATGGTATAGCCTGATCGCACTCCACTGTTCCTTGCAGGTGAAACGCAGGTATAGAATTGCACCAGCTCTGTCATTTTCAGACAGGAGGAATCATTCCATGCTATTTTCGGAGGCAAGGCAAAAGGTTTCTCCTCGATTTGATAGGGATGACGTAAATACCCTCACAAAATCTCAGATTGATTTAGAGTTAGCTAGGATGCGGAATATGACACCACAAGAAGCTGCCACAGCAGCTGCTCGAGCAGTTGCAGAAGCAGAAGCTGCTATAGCAGAAGCTGAAGAAGCAGCAAGAGAGGCAGAGGTTGCTGAAGCTGATGCAGAGGCAGCACAAGCTTTTGCTGAAGCAGCAACAAAAACTCTAAAAGGAAGAAACAATCAGAAAGAGGTAAATTTCCGTCAATTGTCATAATTTATTTTGCACATGAACATATGCACAAGGAACCTGTACACAGCGTATACGGGATTGCTCATTGATTGTCATTCCCTTTAAACTTAGTTTATTTTTAGTCATCTAGCTTATGACATCATGCAATATTGTTTGTTTAATATTCAGATGGTTCAATGATTTGATAAAATGAGCAATGAGGCGTTTGAATGACTTTTTTTGTAGCAGTCACCTGTGATCAACCCTATTCGTAGCAGCAACCAGTGATCATCCTTATTATCTTCAGCCTCTCAGGAGTGCAAAGAAAACGTCTAGGCGTTTCCGGTTGCATATGCATAGGATTCTTCCTTGCCAGCAGGGCCACTTTGGAATAGTAGATTCCATTATTGGTTTCAAATGCAGAGATTCTTTGTTTTTGTTCCTTCTGATAATTGCAGTTGATATTTATTCATTTCTAATACCACTGCACATGTGATACTGGAAAACATAGAAACTAGAATGTATATAGGGGATAGAAACTGTTTGTTTCCATTTGAGATTTATATGTTGTGTAGTTCTTTATGTTCTATGCCATTCTATATTGAAATGAATTCATTTGCTGTAGTTTGTGTCAAATCTGTGGTATTCTTTGTTCCGGATCAATGTGTTAAGCCAAATCTCTATATACTTTCCACAAGCAAATGCTGAAACAAACCATGAGTAGTCTTATTTTTAAAGCTCACTCCACTAACAAAACCCAATGCCAAAATAATGAAAAATGGAGTAATATTTAGGGGAAAAAAAGACAAAAACTCCATGGGGCAAGCAGACTCAACAGTGGACATGGATGACTCAACTCGGCTATGACTCGGCAGCAATTTCCATGGATGTGAGTTTTTCAGTGATGGGGTCTTCTTGTTTGTCACCCTCAAGCTGACTATAGTTGCCTTTCTCCTTGAAGAGTTGGATATGGTGATGTTTGCAGTAGAGTTTCCCTTCATGGGCAATGTAATTTGATGGACTAATGGTGCAACCTCCATGGCTGCACTTGAAGCAGCTTCTGTGATATGATGTCCCATCAACGGTAACCTTGAAGAAACATCAACTCATAATCAAAATTTTTCTTTCTTTTTTCACATCAATGATGGGCATTTGGCATATGTTCCATAATGAAATTTCTGGGGTTTTACCTTCTCAATTGGGTACACAGTCTTACTGCATCCTACACATTTTTCTTTGGTGCCACCAAACAAACTCACCATTTTCTGTGCATTCTGTTGAATCCAACTCATTACCACCAATCAATGGCAAGATTATTGGGTGATTCGGTGGAAAGATAACATATAATAGTCTCCATAATTACCTCATTCTCCCTGTGTTTTTCAGGTTTGGCAATCTTTGGTGTTCCTGAAAAGAGATGAAATTAGAACAGATGTATTCTCAAAGTATTTACAGACGGATGGTAATTAAGCGATAATTAAACAAGGAATTTACCTTCAAAACTCTTGTCCAGACTACCAGTTCTCTTGAAGAGTTGATCATAGTGAGGCCTGCAGTACAACACCCCTTCAAACGAGTTGTAATTGCTGAGCTGCAAGAATCAAGAAAAGGAATCTTGTGATGCCAACAGTGTAGATGAAAACTGTGTCATATGGTTTAGGGTTACCTTGAGAGTGCCGTTGCAATGGTGGCAACGAAAGCAGGCTTTGTGAAAAGCCCTGTTATCAGCAGTGAGCTTATCGACCAAGTAGACGGTCTTGTCGCAGGCACTGCATTTCTGCTGAGTCCCTGCAAATGTCGCCATTGAATTTGAGCATTGATTCCATGCCCTTCTAGTGTCTGATATATAGCCAAGGCTAGCTTGCAGTGAATAGCGGGCAACTAGTTAAAAGAAGATCTGTAGATGGATTCGTACCCCACTTTACTCATCATTCTTCTCCCTTTTTTAAGCAATTTCCATTCTGTTTTACATTTTTATCTATTTCATTTTATTCCACTCTCATTTCTTATCACATTTTCGACAAAATTGCTTGAAGATCTATAATAAAATTATTAATTAAATCGAATTAGTGTTATTATTATTATCTAAAAATTATAAATTTGAATAGATTTAAATATGAATCTATCTTAATTTAAAATTTTAAAATTAAATCGAATTAAAAGTATAAGATTAATAATAGTTTATTTAAGTAAACCATTAACTTTATATGAACAAATCAACAATTTCCTTTTTCTTAAAGGGCCCTAAAGCAATTGAGTAGGAACTATTTAATCATGTGAAGGCCAGCTGGATTCATGGTTGCCTTCTTTTACTTTTTTTTTAGTTAGTAATTTTATATGTAAGATTATTATTTAGTACGAGTAAAATTATTTTATAAAATATTTTTATTTTAATTTGAAATTTAAAATTTAAAATTCTAAACATTAAATCTTAAATATGATTTCTAAATTCTAAAATAAATATAAAAAACCAAAATTTATATATATTATTATATTAGATATTTTTCTTTGTATAGATTAATGATGATTAGTGGCAACATCATAGGATTCCATGATACATGAGGTGATCTTGATTGATACGTAAAAATCTTCTTTATTTGGTATAGGATGCTCTAATCACTTAGCACAATAAATAATAATAATAATAATAATAATAATAATAATAATAATATAAGATTATTTATTTATTTTAATGATATGTGTCTTATTTAATATAAGAATCTATGATTTAAGTTTAAAATTTAGAACTCATCAAGTGGCATAACTGATAAAAGGAAATATTATTCTACCTAAAAGTTATGAGTTCAAGCAGCTACGTTAAGGGTGTGTACGTTGTTAATAGGTTAAGAAAGTTTGAATCGGATATTATCTTTTAATCACTCCGAACTATTAAAAAAATTGTGTCTTATTTTAATGATATGCATCTTATATAATAGAAATTCGAAAACTAAAAAAATGAAAAAGTTTAAGGATTAAAATGACTTTTTAAAAAGTTTGAGAGTAAGAAATGTTATTAGGCCATTTATAATCTATAAACTTAGTTGACACGTATGCAAAATTAAGCATAAAGTAACATTATTATTGTGCCTTGAATGAACCCCCAAAGAAGAAAAATGAATTCAAAGCATATCCGAGATGCAAATTCACTTTAAAGAGGCACAAACACACAAAAAAGAGGCTTTATGTCTACTGTATTGTTTAAACATATATCATAACGCAACGTAACAGGGCATTTGGTCTAGTGGTATGATTCTCGCTTAGGGTGCGAGAGGTCCCGAGTTCAATTCTCTTAATGCCCCAATTTCAAGTTGCATTGCATATTATTTTTTACCTTTATTGGTTCCCCAATAAATTTCAGAAACAAGTAGCAAAATAAACAAATAGGCCAGACAAAACAATACAAGCAACAAAATTCGGCTTTCGATCTCACTCAGAGTGCGAGAGGTTCCGAATTTGATTCTCCGAATGTATATAAAGAAAGTAAGAAACTTATGTTTGAATTTCGAGTAGCAGGTGATTGACATTGTTCTTCAAAAAGATTCAGCCTCTTCATCTTCATTCATAGGTCTATACACCAATGAAGTTCCCTAAACTCACCTTCACTAGTCTGTTTTCTCAGCTTATGAATGGCAGAAGAGAGCTATCCTGCCTTACCGGAACATGATATCTGGGGGAAAAAACGAATTTAAACCTGTATAAGAATTAGTCACGATTGCCAAAGCAATACTATTAATGGTCATGGTGGTACATTAATCATTCAAATGAAAACTAAGCTCTTCTCTTTCGGGTACGTATAGCATGCTGCCGGAAGAATATTGTTCTCGGAATAAACTCGAAGACATCATGAAAGTTTCATTTCTCTGTTTTTATAAAATAACAGCAGCATGGAGAAAGAAGAGGTATATTAAAACAGACTAAGATGAAAATAGCTGTTTAGCAAGGAGAAACCAACTTCAATTATATGTTCATATATCCGAACAGTTGTCATTATGCATAGCAAATTGCAGAACACACATCTACATGCACATATTACCACACTATACTTGTTTGAATACGGTGTAGAGAAGAATATACCTGGGTATAAGGCTACAGTTAAGAGTAAGCTAGATGTTCCGAGGCTGTGCAGCAACTACGACATTAGTCAAGCAGATTGATTTCCTTCGAGAAGAAAGAAAATAAACAAAACCAATGTTCCATCTCCTGTACCGTCACCGTAAATTTAAGTGTTCAAGAAAGTTCTTGTAATAGTGTAAATACAGCTGCATCTCCCACATTAACAATAATAAGATAACTTGACCATTTCAACTTGGCTTCAAAAGCACCATCTCCTTATTTGTGGAGCTCAGAAGGCTGTATCCTGGATCCTTCACAGCAGTTCTCCCATCCATTAATTTACGTGTCTCCCAATAACTTTCCCATGCACCAGATCGTGCATATAAGCCGGCTAAGGCAATGTAGTTAACTGATTTCTTTTGATCCATATTAAAAAGGTGTGTAGCTGCCTCTTCTCCTATGTACATGTTGCCATAGATGTTACTAGCCCCAAGAATGGCACCCCAAAGTGATGAGGTAGATTTAATATTCATCTCGCGTATCAGATTAAAAGAAGCTTCTAACTGCCCTCCACGTGCAAAGAGATCCACCATGCAGGAAAGATGCTCAGCTCGGGGCAATATCGCATATTTGCTGACCATCAAATTAAACAACTCTGAACCTTTCTTAATTAACCCAGAATGGCTGCAAGCAAATAAGAGACTCAAAAAAGTTACATCATTAGGCTTCATGCCTTCATGCTCCATTTTCTCATATAATGCGACTGCCTCATGTCCATATCCATGCTTTCCGTATCCAGCAATAAGTGAGGTCCATGAAATTACATTTCTCTCATCCATTTCATTGAATACCTTGTTAGCATCTTTTATTTCCCCACATTTAGCATACATGTCAATTAGAGCATTGCCCATTGCCACGTCATTTGTGGGGTGACATTTTAAAGAACAAGCATAGACCTGCCTTCCCAAGCTCAGTTCTGCTATATTGGCACATACATTAAGAACAGAGCACAACATCATATCATCCATTGCAACTTGCATCGAATTTATTTCCTTAAAGAGATCCAAGGCATCTCTATTGTGCTTGTCCTCACGTGCAAAGCTAGTGATCAAGGCTGTGCATGATATAATGTCTTTCATTGACATATTTTTATATAACTTAGAAGCACACTGTAAACTTCCACATTTAGAATATGCATCAACTAGTGATCCAGCCAACACGTTATATGATTCAAACCCTAGTCGATATATCAGTACATGTACTTGTCCAATCTTCATGAGACCATCATCTCCAAAGGGGACTCTCAAAACACCGCCCAATGTGAAGCAATCAGGGCACTTTCCTATTGAAGCAGTGTGTTTCAGAAACTAGGTATCTTTTCAAGGTTAATTGAAAGTGGAACATACCATGCAATCAGAGAGGTCAAAATAAGACGGTGACAAAGGAAATTGATAAACTGTGAATAATATCAACAATATACTAATAGACTATTTCTGCTCATATTAGTTTAAACAGTACGGTTATTTCTGACCATCAAACCGAAGCTCTATATCCCTAGAGGGCCCGGATTCGAGCAGTTAATTGCAAAACACCGCAAGGCAAGTACATTTTGCTATATAAAAACGAAGAATGAAAGCTAACCTTCTCTTATCATTTCTCGGAGCAACAGTACAGTTATTTGAAAGCAGAACATACCATGCAATTAGAGAGGTCAAAATAAGACAGTGACAAAGGAAAATTGATAAACTGTGAATAATATCAAAAATATGCTAATAGACCATGTCTGCTCAGATTAGTTTAAACAGTACAGTTATTTCCGACCATCAAACCGAAGCTCTATATCCCTAGAGGACCCGGATTCGAGCAGTTAATTGCAAAACACCGTAAGGCAAGTAAATTTTGCTATATAAAAACGAAGGATGAAAGCTAACCTTCTCTTATCATTTCTCGGAGCAACATAAATGCATTGGCAGCAAAACCCTGAAAAGCAAATCCACCAATCATCACGTTCCAAGAAACCAAATCCCTTTCTTCCATTCCATAAAACAGCCGACAGGCATCCTCCATGTTTCCACACTTTGCATGCAAATCAAGTAACCTACTCTGCACAAACAAGTTCCCAACGAACCTCCCTTTCTCAATACACCCTTGAATTTGCATCCCACCTTTAAAACACCTCAAACCAGTACAAGTTTTCAGCGCACTCCCATAGCTAAATTGATTACCCTTGAAACCCGCTTTTCTCATCTCCGAAAACACCAACAAAGCATTCTCAAAAGACCCATTTTGGGAATACCCTGAAATCATAGCTGTCCACGACACAACATTTCTTTCACCCATTTGAAGAACACCCATTTTTTATAATTTGACTGTGAACTGAAAGGGCTTTCCGTTTGGCTTTAGAATCGATGCAAAGCTGCAAAATTTGCATGTAAGATGAGGAATCTAATTGAACCGACTTGGAGTCTTGTTGAACTTTACCGCACAATAATTTGATGCTTCTAAGACGGTTTTGGTTTAAAAAGTTAATGGCTTTAGCTGCTTTGTTGGGAAACTATTCATTGCATTTTATGGTACAATATGTATCTTCTTCCCTCAAAGCCATCAATCCGCTCGCAGAAACAGCACGAACCGTGCTGTAGGCATTAGGCAATCAAAACCATGCTCATTTGCTACCCTCAAAGCCCGGACTCGTGAGAACGGATAAAGGAGGATAATATGTTATTGTTTCTAAGGTAATTTTTGTAAATTTGTATTTTTATAATTTTACTTGAAATTATGAAAAATTAT